GTTTAGTTCTACTTTTATTAAGTTTTTTTTTAGTATTAGTTACTAACGTTTTTTGTCTTTCTGATTCTTTCTTTTATTGTCTTTATTTTTATTTTAGCTATTTTCCTTATCATTGTTCAATTTTTTCACTTTCTTTGGACTTATTCTGTTGTTCTTTTTTAACTTCTGGAGTTAAATGCACAGCTCATTAATTTTCAGACTTTCTTCCTTTTGAATATAAACATCTGATGCTATAATTTGCCTACTAAACAGGAATGATATTCCACAGATACATAATTGTATGGACATATAAATTAAAAATATGTCCAGACTATTTCATAAATAGGCACTGCTCCAGGCTTTCTTGGTTTCTTCATCACTTACCCAGTTGCCCTGGCCACCTCGGTTCCTTTCCCAGTACTGCTGGGATCTATATTTTATCATCTGGCAACTAAAAGGTTAATGCCTGGCACAGAAGAAGGCCTCCAGTAATTGGTGCCAGCCCTTGGGCCAGCTTCTGTTTCAACACATCAGTGCCCTTGCTATTTCCAGTTTGATTCCATTCTCGTTAGAAAACAAACTTCGTGTGATTTCAGTTTGAAATCTACTGAGATTTGCTTTATGCACCAACATATGGTAATTGTTGGTAAAAATTCCATGAGAACTTGAAAAAAATGTACATTTTAAAATTGGGTTCAGAGTACTATATACTTCAATTAAGTCGTGTTTGTTAATCCAGCTCCAATGCCCTATATTATTCCTTGGTTTTGTCTGCTTGTTGATAAGGAAAATTTGTTACTATCTCCTTGTAGCTACGTCAATTTTGAAGCTTTGTAAATTGTTACAAACAAATTTAGAATTGCTATGTATTTCTGATAAATTGAATATTTATCAATGTGTAAGGAAGTTATTTCTAATAATCTAGTATCATTGGCATTTTGTCCTATAATCAATTTTTTTCTGATGTTAATATATATACATTCACTTTATTTAGTTTAATATTTGCCTGGTATACCTTTTCTTATACTTTAAAAATGTTTTTGATAGAGTATAATTCGCATACCATAAACCTCACCATTTTAAAGTCTACAACTTAATGGTTTTCAGTGTATTCACATGGTTGTGTACCATCACCACTAACTCCAGAACATTTTTATCACCCTCCCCAAAGAAACCCTATATTCCTTAGAGTCATTCCAGATTCCCTGCTCCCCTCAGCCAGTGACAACCACTGAAGTCTAC